GTCAGATTTCAGCATCAGTGGGCGGCCGGACGCTGACCAGGGCCACCGCATTAGAAGGGTATTAAACATCCCCAAGGTGTGTGCTTAGCAGTAGTTAGGATGACCTTGTTCTGTGTATTTTACCACGATAAAAAATTGGGGACTTTAGCAGCCTTGGGAGGGGCGGAATTCCACAAAGCACAAGGAGCTGCTCCACCAGTTCCCCCAGGTCCCCCAGTCCCAACAGGAGCATTCAGGGTTCACTTTCTTGTCGCTCTTGTGAGCGGGAAAGTAAAACTGTCAAAAACCCAGGAGGGCCCAGCAGGGCCGAGCCAGGGCGCTGGCAGCCGGCAGCCCCTGTGTGCGTGCAGCTGGGGCCTGTGATTACCCATCCAGAGAGCAGAGAAAGGGGAAGGAAGAATGGAAAGTTCGTGGAGGGGGTCGGGGCTGGGAAAGGGGGAGGGAGAGCTGGGAGGCTGACGTCCCTTGGAGACAAAGGGCTTGGCAGGAGGCGAGCGCCCCAAAGGCGAGCGGACAGACGGGTGCAGTAGGGCTGCCCTGCTCTGCTACGGACCCTGCACACGGAGCACCTCGCTCTTCTGTGGCCACGGGAACCGTGGCTGGGATGGGTGTTTCCCGGATGTCACTACCAGCTCCTCTGCAGGAGGGAGAGCGCTGCAGGCCCCAGATGCTTCCCCCTCCAGGTCTCGAGCCTCCCAGGCGCCTCCCAGGCCAGGGGTGAAAGGGCACCGGGGAGCTGATCTCTGAGGCCCTTTGTTTCCGCTCCAGGCTGGCGCAGGGTTTGGCCCTCCAGAGGGTGGGATGGCCTATGGGGTGGATCCTGGGCTCAGGACCCCAAGTTCCACCTTCCCAGAGCACCTCCCCCAGGATACCAGGGGCTCTGGCCTGGGGAATTTGTCCTTCTCCAGTGTGTGTGTGTGGGGGGGGGCAGGGCACTCTGGACTTATCTAGAGCTGGGCCTGGGGCTAGAGAAAGGGGTGCAGGCCTGTGTCACCCAGTCCTTGAGATCCAAGACATGGTCATTCTGGGGAATGCTCACCACAGGAGGGGGACACCTCCAAACCTCTGAGGAGACTGTGCCCAAACCAAAGGGCTGGTGGTCACCCGGGCAGCTAGTACAAGCCAGCACTACCGCCCACAAGAGCATCACTGTCTTCTTACTTACCTTTGGAGCCAGAAGCGGCCACCACCCTTGGTCAAGCCCCACTGTTAGGAGCCACTTAAACGTTAGTACATTTCAGGTGATTTCAAGCAGGACCTTCCTTTTCTGTGGGAGGACACAATAAGTACAATGAGGCATCTGAGGTTATTAGTAAAAACCACCAACGGCCTATTTGAGGTTTGCGCCCCATGGTTGCCAGCCTGGGGCCTGGGGGCGCATACTGTGCTGGCTGGTGGCTGCCTGTGCCCACTTGGAGACCTAGAGAGGGTCCAGCCCTCTCCGTGATGGGGCTGAGACAGCGGGAAGGGGGCTGAGAGGGGCCTCAGGGGCATGCGGGCATGGGGATGGGGAGCCCAGTCCCCCCTCAGTCATTTCTTCCTGGCCCTGCGGGCACTTGGGTCCACAGTCATTCTGAACCTCCCCGCCAGGGCAGCTCTGCCCAGCAGGCTGCATCTTTCGGTGGAGCCGGGACCCTAGGGGCACTCAGAAGCTCCGGAGCAAGGAGAGGCTGCTGAGGTCAGGTAGTAAAGCAGCAGGAGACAGAATGACTGTTCACGGAGACCCCTACTTACATATATAGTGTCTGGGTGTTGTTGGGCACACCTGTGCCAAGCAGTCTGAAGCCCCAGTGGATTGGCTGGGGTCTCTCAAGGGAAAGGATCTGGAGCCATCTCTGCGCTGGGTCTGCCACTGTACACCCCTCTGTTCTTGGGAGGAAGTGCAGCTCCCCACTGCAGCTGCCCCAGAAACTGGCTCCCGGCTTCAGGTCAGAACCTATTCATCCAGCTCCCACTGGCACAGCTAGGGGTAGCGCGAGAAGACCCTCCGCTGGGCCCGGGGCCAGCGGCCTGTGCTCACATCTCCATGGGCCCTGCTAGAGGCCTAGGAAGGCAGGCCCCGGGACTCCAGAGAGCCCTGTGCGCTCTGTGATGCGGGCTGGAGCTCAGCTCCACCAAGGCCGCCGGGATGGACGCAGCCTTCCGGGGAGGCAGTCACGCAGCTCCCAGAGGAGCACGCACTTGGGCTCTTCAGAAAGTGGCTTCCCCCTCCCGAGCACTTGGGAAAACATCTACTGCGGACAGACAACGGCCCGGCCCAGCCAGCAGCCAGCCGGGATCCCCAACTCAGGTGATGCCTGACGCGTCTCCACACACAGCTCAGCAAGCACATGGGGCTCCGGAGGCCCAAGCCAAGTCCTGGCTTCTGTCTGCCTGGGCGAATGCAGGACACTGGCCTGGGAGCTTAGGCTACAAACTGTGGAACACAGTTACTGAAGAAGCCAATGGGATTTCCCTGCACCCCAAATGCAAACCTCTCCCTTTCATTGTTAGCCTCAGGTAGACTTGACAGTCTCTGGGGCCCAACCGGGAGCTCAGGACCCCAGGACCTCAGAAAGCTGTATGGTGCCCTTTACCAGTGATGACTTGAAACGGTTATTTTAAAAGATTGCTTGATATCGATGGGTTTTTATTTAAATGAGAGAGGCCAGCAGTGACAGAAATTGTGCTAGCATTTGTTTTGCTTTGCCATCTCAGAATGTCTGCATGATTCAGGGGGGTCTGGGGTGACTCTAGTCTGGTCCCTCCAGCACCCTAAGGTGGCAGCCCACCCGTGGGCCCTGGTCACACAGGAAATGCCTAAAAGGTCGCCCTTGGCCACAGATGATCCTGAGGGTCTCTTGAGTTTCTTCTACCGAAAAACAGAACTTTTTCTTTCTTTCAACCTAATCAAGTTTGGAAATACAGCGACGGGCTTCAAGCACATTGGACGGCACTCCAGGACTTGCCTAACTTTTCTGGTGGAAATGCTGTATCACAGCTTTTACTTTGGGGAGCAAAAAACAACAAAGAAGGTGAATGAAGATGACCCAGGAAAGAGGCAGTCCCTGGGTCTCAGCTCTCCCAGAGCAAAGTTCCTCCTCCCCAGAGTGAATGCGTCAGTCCAGCGCGCATGAGCAGAGCTGCAGCCTCGAGTGATAGACCTGTTGAAGCTCGCTGAGGGTGGCAGTGCGGCTCCAAGGCCTCCTGGTGATGCAATGTGCACACAAGTCATTTCAGTTGCTCTGCGCTCACATCAAGGTATCCAGAATGTAGTACATAAAAAAATAGGAATCTACTTGTTACTAGGGCACCGGGCCAGGAGCACCAGGCCTGGGGAGCGTGACCCAGAGGCGGAAGTGGTAATTTCACCTGGACCTCTGACATTTGTAATAAAGAAGTGTTTCTCTTTATTTACTGCAACTTTCAAAGAAGTTAAACACACAAAAATGCGCATGGGGGTGGAATGTTCACAATTTTGATAACCACAGTTGTAAATAGAAACATTCATTCCTCGTAAGATTATAAATATTTGATACTCAAACTGCAAAACGCACATTTTAGAAACTAAAAAAAAACCCCAACAAATTTGCTAAAAAGGCCTGTCTTTCCATTGAGTTTCCTAAGCAGCAGGTGGTTACTCACAGAATTTTAAATTACAGCTTTCGCTTTTATAGTTTCCTTTTCAAAAAGGTTTATACTATTATGTACAGAGTGAAACCATTAGTGAAGTGAAATAAAGGTTTAAGGCAAAGAGAGAAGTCCGCTGCTGCCCGCAGTGGTCAGCTGGGCCGTGGCCACATGCCCTGGGCAGCCTGAGTCCGGCCTCAATGAACATTTGGACATCTTTTCTGGACGCTAAACAGAAGACAGTGTGGTATTATATATAATGTGTTTGTTCATATATATATATATGTACTTGGTGGGGAATATATTGAATATATTTAATTTACACCGTGCCACACCTTTGAAAAATAAAATGTACATTTTCTTAAAAAAACAAGAAAAGACAAAGTGGTAAGAAATGGTTATTTACACTCTTTCTTCCTTCTAGATCCTGAAGGGGGTCTGAGTTTTTTTTCTGATATCAAGGTAGCCACAGGTTCCAGAACTGGGCCTGATGCACGCCTGCTGTGTGCGTGCACACTCTTACACAAATTTGTACACGCACACACACACACACATACACACAAATATTCATCTCCAAAGAGCAACGAAAGTGGCTAGGAAAAAAATGAAAGGTGATAAGAAGGAAAAGGAACATGACGCCAGCTCCCACTGCCCATCCTTTGGTGAAGACCTTGCTGGGTTTCTGGGCCGGCTAGCTGCGGCCTGGAGGAGGAGCGGTGCCCCAATCTCGGCGGCTCTGGGCCACATGCCCAAGCCCCTCACGCCAGTGTCACAGCAGAGGAGCTGGCGCTGGGTTTTGTCACGGAGCAGGCACAGCAACACAGACATGGGCAGAAGAACACATGGGGAGGTTCGGACCAGGCCTAGAGAGGGCTGGGGAGTGGGTCACGAAGCCAGACAGCGCGGGAGCCAGAACGGGAGAGGGAGCAGAGCTGCGGCAGCGGCGGCGGCGGCGGGAGAGGGGCCTGGAGCTGAGCAAGGCAGCGGAGGCCAGTTTGCCAAGACAGGCCCCTCCTCACTGAGAGGCTGCTTCCAAGACCACGACTGGATCGATCTTGGCCGAAGCGCCTCAGTCCCTGGGTCTGCCAGGGCCCCATGCTCCCGAAGGCCCAGGCTCCACGCTCTGGATTCGGACCTCTCTTCTCCTGTCCAAGCCAACACAAACAAAGTGGCAAAACTTTTAGACCAAATAGGAGCTATTTATTCTGTTCACAGTTGTGTGAGATGCAGCAATAAAAATCTTTGGACTTTAGCAAGTTGTTTTAATTTTTTTCTTCTTTTGAAATAATAAAAAAAATGTCCGATGTCCCATAATGGAGCTTAGCAGATTAAAAAAGGTGAAACCCTAAGCAGCCCCCTTTGCAAAAAAAAAAAAAAAATCATAAAATTAGGATAATCTTGTAAACACAAAAAAGCAAAAAAAATATTTTATAGTCTGATATCTTGGATTTTACAACACCTGTAAATTATATATACATAGAATATTGCAGAACCATAGCTAATACACAATATCTTCACGATTAATGCTGGTAGAATCTCTATACACTGGCCCTTTGCGGTTTTAAATTATTGCATTGTTCCGTGCGGCCTGCAGGCCTCGCCCGCCGCGCGGCTACTCGCTGTCCGACTTGCCCTCCTTCGCCGTGGTGGAGTGGTTGTACAGGCCCTGGGCCATGAGGTGCACGGCCAGCGTGTTCTTGTTGCCCGTGGCCTTCTTGATCTTGGCGCGCTTGTTCTGGAACCAGATCTTGATCTGGGACTCGTTGAGGCTCAGCTCCTGTGCCAGGCTCTGGCGCCGCTGCTCAGTCAGGTACCTGTTGGTCTGGAACTCCGCCTTCAGCCTCTGCAGCTGCTCAGCAGTGAAGGCCGTGCGTGGCCGCTTGTCCTCTTTGTTGGGGTTCTTCTTCTTTGGTTTTCGGGACCTGGGACCTGGGTGGGAGGAGGACAGAGGGGGGCGATTACAACTGCTCCTTTCCAGCAGCAGCCCGCAGCCACTGCACGTTTGCAGAGACCCTGGGAGGGGGAAGGGACGGCCCACGGCCACCGGCTGGCCACCAAGGGATGGGGAGCAGGAGGCCTCAGGCCACACCTGCTTCCCCAGCCTCGGCGCACAGAGATGTGGGTACATGGGCGGGCCGAGTGGAGGGCTGGCTGGGTGGAAGGCCAGAGCAACCAGAGGCTGCACACAGGAGCAAAGAGCTGAGGGGAGAAATAAACTTCCCGGACTGTTTGGTTTCTTTCTCTGTCCTCTTTCTGGCTTCTGCATTTTCGTTCTCCGGAATAAGGGGCAGGGTAGAGGCTGAGAGATCAGAGAGGACGGCAGGCAGCTGGAGGAGCCCTGCCCTCCAAGAGGGTCTCCAGGGAGCATTCCACAGTGCCCAAGCACAGAGGGTCTTAGAACTGGAGGGGCCCACGAGGCCTGAACACACCAACTCTGAATTCCTCCAGCTCTCTTGAGAGCTCAAGTTCATTGTCCCCTAAGAACAGGGCAGAGCGCAGCCTCCCCTCCTGGTAGGGAAGCTCCCTGTCCAGGAGTGGCCTGGGCCATTAGGGGGTGCAGCCCACAGTGGCCTGTCCATGCCCCATCTCCCCACACAGCAGGCAGTCCAGGTGACCTTGGGAGGATCTACTCCTCTACTTCCAGCCCTTCCTTGCCTAGGAGGTACCTGGCTGACCCCTATTTGGGGCAGGGTTGTGGGCATGTTAAAGCCTAGGGTTGGATATAGGGAAGTGTGAGAGGGACAAAGATAGAGAGAAGGGGAAGAGCCCAAGCCCCCGAGTGCAAAAGCCTGGCCAGGCTGCAGGCTGAGAGCAAGGCCTCTGCCATCACTTTCTCCACGGTGAGGAGCAGAATCAACTCTGGGGCCCTTCTGAGTCCCATCCACTGGAAGCCAAGAGGCCGGAGAAGGCAGGCCATAGGGGGCCAGGGGACAGCCGGGTCACTGGCATAGCCGGAGGACAACCCCCCCAGACGGGGAGTGGCAGGGTTGCCCAACCCCGCTCAGCGAGAGGTCAGATTGTGGGCTGGGGCAGGCATGGAGAGTTCCCCATGAACTGCCCAGGGCACTCCAGTGGCAGCCAACAGGGCACAGGGTGGTGGGCACAAGAGGGCCGGCTCAGCTGGGCTCACTCCCTTCCTTTAGCTGCAAAGTACACCCACATTCCTGCCCACCCACGGGCCATGTGGCCATGTGCACCCTGCTCGCTGGCACACACATCTGCATGAGGGGCGGGTGCTGTGCCTGTGGTCCGGGCCTTGCAGGAGTGACGGTACTGTTTAGCCTGCTGGGACCGGTGTGGAGACAGAGATGGAGCTGGGAGCCGTATGGGAGGAGGCCCAGACGCCCGCACCTGCTCGGCTCACAGCGGCCTGCGGGGCTCCGCGGCTCTCGGGGTCTGCTCCTTCCTGCCCCAGAAGTGTGCTCCCGGCCCCCAAGCCCCTTCACTGTGGTTCCTGTTCACACATGCCCATCAGCCATCCTCAAAAAGCCAGTTTCATAAAAAGACAATTATCAATTAAAATTTTTTTTTCTCTTTTCTTTCAAAAGGGAAACAGGAGGGTCGGACACAAACCCAGACCTCCGCGAAAACCTCTGTCCCGTTTTTTACCTAAGCGCCCGGAAACAGAAGCGTTACCTACCCGGGTTGGGGATTTTAAAAACCCAGCAGGGCCTGCGACTCGGTAGCAGGACCGGGCCACGCAGCCAGCTCCCCTGGCACTAGGCCTGGGCTGCGGGGCTCCGTGCGCGAGGGCAGGCAGCCGCCTACAAAGCCCAGCGCGGCTCTGGCCGGCGCATTGTGAGCCTATATGGTAATTAAATATTAACAAAGGAGGAAGCTGAGAACAATGGCGCAAAATTCAGGTCTAGCTGGAGAAATTTGGGGTTCACCAGAAACACACACACACTCACAAATTTCTGCGGGAAGCGGTCAGGGGTGCCTTGGTCCTGCAATGCTGTGCATCAAGGGCCCCGCAAAACAGTTGAGGGGTAGGGGCTGAGAAGGCCCCTGGTAGCTTGAGGACCAGCGAGCTCACTCCTAAGGGCGCTTGCAGCCGCAGACCCGCGTTTAGTGCATGTGGTGCTTTCTACAAGGTCAACGCGCGCTCGGCTCCTTAAAATCACTGACGGATTAAAAAACAAAAACAAAACAAAACAGAACAAAAAAACACCCAGGTTCTCACACACCGCCTCCGAGAGCTGCCTCCTTTTCACCCCCGGTACTGCCTGGAAACCCCCCCGAAAGTCCTTTCTGAGTGGGGAACTCGGTCCCAAACGGCTGCGAAGCTTCAGCCAATAAAGTCGGCAGAGGGTGAGGGGCGAGGGTCCTCTGTTTACGGCCTTCCCGCTGCAGCCCCTTTCCCAAGCCTAGGCCTGAGGAAGAGGGGCTTGCTCCTTTCTCCTGGACCACACCTTGGGTGCCAGGTCCCACTACTCTGGACCTGGGCGAGGGGTGTCGGGGGTGCGCCCCAATCTGGACAGAGCTGGAAGACGGGCACTTGCGAGTGAGCCTTCTGGGCCTGTTCTGCAGCCACCCCTGTTCTTGCCAAATAAACTGAGGTCGGGAAAGGAGCTGGGAGACAGGAAAAATACGAAAGAAGAACGCGAACGCGGCTTCCGCGGTGCTCGGAGAATGCCAACCACTTCCCAATCCTGTCCCCTGTGCCCCCTGCGGCTGCCCAATGTCAGCTGCGCAGGGTGGCGAGGCTGTGGCGAACTGCGTCTTTGTGTCCGTCTGTAGGGGGAGGAGGACACGTCCCCCGCCATCGCCACCCCAGCCCCGTGCACCTCCCGGGCGACCGCCCCGGCTCCGCGGGCTCACCTGAAGAAGGCCGGTCGGAGTAGCGCGTGCAATAGACCCAGGCCGGCCAGAGCATGGGCTGCGCGCCCAGGGTGGCGCTGGCCTGTGAGCTGTCCGAGTCCGAGCTCACCGACAGGTCGCCGCCGCCCAAGCCCCGGGCCTTGAGTGTTCCGTCCAGGGGACCCCCGGGGTCGTTGCCTTTTTTGGCGCCACCGTGAAGAGAAAGCGTCTTAGAGCCGCCTTCCCCGTCTCCCGGAGAGTCGCTGCCGCCGGCGGGTAACGGCCCTCCCGCTCCGGGCGCGCACGGCGGGTTCTGCCGCGGCTCCCTGGCGCCCGGCCCCAGGAGCGGCTCCACTGCACCAGTGCCGCCCCCCTCGGCTCCTCCTGCGCCGCCTTCGCCGCGGGCTGCGCCGCCTCGTCCTCCGCTGGCGCCCACGCAGCACGTCCCCGCGTCCTTCCGCCGGCCGAACTCCGGCCGCAGGATGTTGTCGATGAAGAAGTTGGTGATGCGGTGCGGGTGCTGGTGATTGCCCGGCGCCTGGAGCTCCGCGGGTAGCATCAGCGCGCGCCGGCGGCCGGTGTCCGAGTCGCCAGGGCTGCCGCCGCCGCCGGGGCTGGAGTCGGGCTGCCGCGGTCTCTCCGCCGCCGCCGC